ACTCTTAATGTCAGGGTTTTAAGTTCAAGCCCCATACTGGGTGTAGAAATTACTTAAAAATAGAAATCTTTAAAAAAAATTTTTTTAAAGAAGAGAGTAACAAAAATTCTCATCTATGAGTTTAAGAGCAGGTTTATGGTTTGTAATGTTTAAATGTTAATTCCTGTTCAATACATAAAATATCTTAAATAAGTATCTACATTTTTTTTTTAAGTCCTTGTCAAAGATACACATTGAAGTAGTTAGAAAGTGAAATGACATGTATCTGGGACTTGCTTTAAAGGATGCCAGTCTCCCAACTCCTGTGCCATACAAACAAAATTAGTAGAGATAGTTGAAAGTGGGTGATGCATACCATGGAGAATCACCATACTACTCTATTTATGTATATACTTGAAATTTTCCATAGCAGAAAGTTATTTATTTATTTATTCATTTACTTACTTAATTACTTAATTTTAAGTACACTCCATACCCAGCATGGAGCCCAATGCAGGGTGTGAATTCACGATCCTAAGATCAAAACCTGAGCTGAGATCAAGAGTCAGATGCTAACCAACTGAGCCACCCAGATGCCCCACAAAGTTTTTTGTTTTAAAACCCAACAAAAAACAACACAAATAAAAAGCTAAGAAAAACTATACACATAAGTAATAAACTTTTCCCCAAAAACTAATGTCTCCATCAGAAACTTCCAAACACAAGATAATACTGGTCATTTCAGCCAAAATAAAGTATCTTAAAATTACTCTCAATACAAAGCATGTTTTATCTCTTTATTAAATACTAACTAAACAGCAGTATCTTCTCTTTCTTTGGTATTATTATTCCTCCACCTGGTAGAATAGCCTAGAGTATATTTTTTCCTTTTTCCCCTTTATACATCCTTGTTATATTTTTTTAATGACTAGAACTACCATTAATTCTATATGTATATACAAGTATGTAAATATACATGAATGTATACCATATACATATGTATATGTATATAAAAATAACTAGGACTACTATACTACCATTACTACTCTTACATCTATTATTTAATAGCGCACCCATCGGGTATACTTGACCTTTTAAAGTTTGTCTGTTTGTTTATTTATGTATTTTTATTTTGAGAGAGAGATGGAGAGCATGCAGGGGAGGAGCAGAGAGAGAGACAGAAAGAATCCGAAGCAGGCTCCACACTGTCAGTGCAGAGTCTGAAATCACAAACTGTGAGACCATGACCTGAGCCAAAGTCAAGATTAGAACACTTAACTGACTGAACCACCCAGGTGCCCCTATCTTTGACCTTTTAAAAAATTTTTTTTTCAACGTTTATTTATTTTTGGGACAGAGAGAGACAGAGCATGAACGGGCGAGGGGCAGAGAGAGAGGGAGACACGGAATCGGAAACAGGCTCCAGGCTCTGAGCCATCAGCCCAGAGCCTGACGCGGGGCTCGAACTCCAGGACCGCGATATCATGACCTGGCTGAAGTCGGACGCTTAACCGACTGCGCCACCCAGGCGCCCCTCTTTGACCTTTTAAAAAGCAGGACTCATCTGGGGCAGCTGATCCAACTTCGGCTCAGGTCATGATCTAGCAGTCTGTGAGCCTGAGCCCCACATCAGGCTCTGTGCTGACAGCTCAGAGCCTGGAGCCTGCTGCAATTCTGTGTCTCCCTCTCTCTCTCTGCCCCTACCTCGCTCACACTGTCTCTCTCTCAAAAATAAACATTAAAAAAATTTTTTTTTTAAAAAGCATGCTTCATCTGAGAGGATTAAAAAAAATCCCTCATAACACATAACCTTCAAAATAATGGACAAAATGAGGAAAAGCTGTGAACTATAGCCCATTTGCAAATTTACTATACTTTACACATAGATTTTTAATTTGTTGGCACATGATGCATTAAATAAACTGAAAGTATCAGTTGAAATTATTTAAAGGTAACCATAAATACCTGCAAATAACTTTTGTAAGTGAATTACTATAAAACTTTTAACACTACACTACAGTACAACCTTAAAATATCTGAACTTAAGACTTAACACTATATACTCCCATCTTGTTTCAAAATAAAAACGTTTACTGGGGAGCCTGGGTGGCTCACTGGGTTGAGCTTCCGACTTTGGCTCAGGTCATGATCTTGCGGTGCGTGAGCTCGAGCCCCACGTCGGGCTCTGTGCTGACAGCTCAGAGCCTGGAGCCTATTTCAGATTCTGTGTCTCCCTCTCTCTCTGACACTCCCCCATTCACGCTCTGTCTCTCTCTGTCTCAAAAATAAACAAACATTAAAAACAACATTTTTCAAAATAAAAATGTTTACTATACTAACATTTATTATTATTATTTTGTTATGTTTTATTTATTTATTTTGAGAGAGAGCGAGCAAGAGTGGGGAAGACGCAGAGAGAGAGGGCACGGAGCCTGACACAGGACTCAATCCCACAACCTTGGGATCATGACCTGTGCCAAAATCAAGAGTCAGATGCTCAACCGACTGGGCCACCTAGGTAACTCTACTATACTACCATTTAAATACTCACACGCTTTGCCTTTTCATAATTTTCATAGCAAGTACACAGAGAACAATCTTCTCCAAATTTGTATCCAAAAGGATAAAGAAGCACATTATGTCAACTTCCCTATCAAACAGTCCCACTTACCAAAAAGCAAAGACAAAACATATTCCATAATTTTACTTCAAATATGCCTAGGCAGTTTATTTCTTTAATTCAGATATACTCTTTCAAACATATAAATGAGATTTAACTAATTCTCAAACTAAGTGTGTTAAAATTTCCTTCTGCCGTCTTTAAAGGAAGAAAAAGTAGTTTCAAAATAGTTCCACCTCCAGATGCTTGGCTGGCTCAGTCTGTAGAGCATGCAACTCTTGATCTCAGGATTGTGAGTTCAAGCCCCACTTTGGATGTGGAGCCTACTTAAAACAGAAGAAAAAAAAAAAAAAGGGTTTCACCTCCTGAGAAATAACAGTCATTCATGGTACTCTTCTTTCAACTTTTAAGTTTATAAAATTATAGGAAAATTAATTAAATTGGAAATTTGGAAAGCCCTGCTCTCCAAAATACCCCACCTCCAAATTACATGACACCTTTTCTTTCTTCTCTGGAGCTAAAACTGACTCCATTAGTTTATTCATCCTCAATCAGTCGGCAATATTTACTAAGTCTCAGCAATGAATTAGGTACTCTGGAAAGTTACAAAGGAAATATAGGAGCTACTAACTACCCTCAAGGAGTTTATATATCATCCC